AGTGCTGCCCAGCATTTTGTCTCTCCCCTCAGTGGTGACATCCGGGGCAGCCCGCCCCCACCACACCCCCTTCCTCCGCCCCTATGGGGAAGCAGGAGGTGGAATGGGGTGGCACCTCTTGGTAGGTGCTGCCTGAGGCTACTGTCTCAGCCTGTTTCATGGGTGGGCTGGTTCTGCGATTGAGTCTTGTGGGTGTTAAATACCAGCAAAATATCAATTTATAAAAGTTTTCTTTCAAAGCCTTGTGCTCACAGTCTGCTGTGGAAAGCTCTGCCAGACCCAATTCCGTACTTCTTCAGGAATATCTTCCCTCATTCCATCTGGTCTAACATGTTTAAATAAATCTGGTTTGATATGTTGATTTTTAAATAAATCCATGATCATAATAATATTATATATATTTCTCAGTAATTTCTGTTTCAGTGCTTTTATCATTAAGCTTTTAAGTTCTGCTTTCTTTAAAAGGCCAATTTTTATCAACAAGCATGGGGTAATCTGACTTGGAAGTATTGAAATAAAGATGGTCAGTATTGTCCCACTCAATGTTCCTATCCCCTATAGTTATAATCCGTGGGTTGCCACCTGATTCTGCTCCAAATGTGATTTTAAGCTGTAATTTAATTGATTGTTTGATTTATGTTTTTAATGTATCATACTTTGATGTTAGCCGCCCTGAGCCTGGTCCTGGCCAGGGAGGGCGGGGTATAAATAAATTTTATTATTATGACTACTACTACTACTATCTCTTTACTTGTTTCTTCATATGATTTAAAAATCCTGTCTTTAAAAAGCCTCTTCCATCCAATCAAATCATTATACCATCCATTATACCATTATACCACCCATTGTTGTAAATCACCCCAAAGAGTGGCATCAGCTCATTCATATTTGTAACAAATAGCTATGAGTGGGGACATCCCTGGACTTTTGCATCTATTCCAAATAAAAACAAAGTTTAGTGCATGTATTTGTTCTCTGGATTTTGCAATGCAGTTCTCCAACCAAAAACGTCCCCCCAAATGCAAAGGTTAAGCTAAAGTGTTCAGTTACAAAAACATACAAATATCACTGTGCGTAATAAGATGAGACGTGAATGTTCGTGTAGAGTATAAATATTCGGAAACGCTTGGTTCGCGGCACAAGTTCGCAAGCTGTTCTTCAGAATTGTTTGTGCATTGAACAGGAAACATATATTTTGCTAAGGATTACATAAAACAAATGCAAGGCAGTCAGGCCCTGAGCCCCCTTCCAGACTAATGGGCCCCGGCAATTTGTGCCAGCTTCTTCCCCATCTTGTCGGCCCTGGGAAAAACAAAACATTTGGTTAGTTCAGTGACATGTTAACAAACGACTTTGAAATTGCATTTTCTCTCTCTTTGTTGTCTGGCTAGATACAGCTCCTAATGGACAAACCTATTCTGCGAAAAGCAGGCTGGAACAGGCAGAGGAGAGGCAGACAGGCAGGTCTTTAAGGCTGACTCTGACCAGGCCCATGAGGTATCCTGTTCTCATCCAGGCATGCCACAAAATTGATGCTATTAGTGTTACATGTGGCATCTGTGCTGTAGTTGGCTCATCCAAACCCATGGCCAGACCGAAACAGTTTCTTGCCAAAAGAAAAATGCAAGATGGTACCCCTCCCACAAAATTCCATGTATGGTAGTTGACTGGACTGGGAACTGAATCTTACTTCAACACTGGTGAATGGATAGCATCCTCCATCACACTTGAAGCAGCAAGACACACTGCAGGGGGCGAGGAGGCTATGTGGCAACAGAAGGGAATGGCTGGTTGCTCAGGAAGAATAGCCAGGGACTCTTACTTCTGTCCCAGAAAATCTGCTGCATGAGGCAGTTGCCTCATTATGCCTAATGGAAGGGATGGCCCTGCTCATCCTCTTAAAAATGCAGCAAGATTTTGCAGAAGTTGCTCCATCCACATTCCAAATATCTGGATGACGTCAATGTGTATTTTAAAAATATTTTAAAATATATCCTCCTTGTTTACATAACAGTGTAAATATTCTATAATTTATATATCCTTAGCCCATAGCTGTCAAGTGTCCCTTATTTGAAGGGACAGTCCCTTATTCCAGCGCCATGTCCCGCTGCTGTCCCTTATTGATGGATGTCCCTTAAATGTCCCTTAAATAATGTCCCTTAAATTTCAAAGGAAGCAGCTCCTCTCCCTCCCTCCCTGCCGGCCAGGGAGGAGGGAGGCTCCAACTGTGTTGCTTGGCTGTGTTGCTCACCCAATAAGAAGTCTAAGAACGACTGGGGGGTGGAGCTTGCATGCCTTGTGTGTGGCTAGTTAATGCAAGCTGAGGAGTTTTTTTGAATGCTGGACGCCATTTTGTTGCGTGTGCTGCTGCAAACTTTGCAGTGCAAAGCCAGGCCGGGGAGCCATCTTAAGTTGAGGCTGCATAGGCCTTGTGGTGCATGTGATTCAGATTCTATTCAGTTGAAACTCTGGTTACAAAGTTGGTTGGACAGTGTTCTCGAAGCTACCAGCATGAGTTTGACCAGACTGCAGGAGGACAGGAAGACTGGAGTGCCTGGAACAGTTGAGGCTGCAGGTCCCTTATTTTGGCTGCTGGTCCCTTATTTTCAAGGCTGCTGGTCCCTTATTTTCAAATCTGTAAGTTGACAGCTATGCCTTAGCCAATGGAAGAATGCTAGAAGGCAAGAATGGGAGACGGGTTGGGGCAGTTGGTTTCAACCGACTGAAAATTCATTCAAAGGCAAATAAATGCCTTTCATTACCAACACAGTTTCTAACCCAAACATCCACGTCTCCCTCTCTCTGTCTTCTCCTTTAGCCTCCAAGAGGTGTAAAATGATCTCAACAGCATCCTTTAGTAGGACCCTCATCTTCTGCTATACATTTTGCAATGTATCTGAACGCCTCTCAAGATACTACAAGCAAATTTGACATGATGGTTCCTGGCATCAAGGAGCAGGTTTTTGTCTATGCTGGGATACAATCGGACACCATTTTGAATCAAGATGGTAGACTGAACCTTTTGAAATGGCACTAATGTTACCCACTGATTTCAAAACTGTCCTGATTTTGTTGTTGTTGTTTCTTAGCGCAACATCAGATACTTGGTGTAATCATCTGGTTCAGGCAAAATTCCAGCATACCTCAGTGACTAGTGTCCCCTGTTGTTTCCCCCAGTCTTTTATATAGCTTATCCTTTTGGGATTCTTTCAACTCATTGTTTCATAATCGTATTTAAACATGTACAAGCTGGAATAACTCATATATCAACTGCCTGTTTACTATATTTGTCCTCTAGTCGTTTCTTTTGAGTAACAAAACAGCTCCCCCCCTCCAGAAACAGATCCTTAAATTTAATTATTGATTATTTTCCCTTGTTGCTAAAGTTGCCAGTTAAATTTCCTTGATTAAAATTCCATATCCCAAAACCACTGTATCTATCCCAAATCTTCAAAATCAAAGCTATTTTAATTATCAATCTCCATCTCCTAGAAACCATAATATGTATTTCAGTGGCGTCTCAAAATAAAACTGCTCAAATCTCCATTGGGACTCGTCATCATCAAGGACCCACTGAGCTACAAATTGCAGCTGACAGGCATTATCAGCTTTTATGATTTCCTCTTATTTCCTGATACTCTTTCATCTCTAAAAAAATGTTTGATTTTTCACTTGATTCATAGATCACTTGATCTGTTGCTATTTGCCACATTGAACAACCTAAGCATTAGCAAGTAACATTTTCTTGCAGTTTCCCATTCAGTGCTGGTGTTTTCAAAATATCATCTGCCACACACGGAAGCCGTGAGTAGACAAAGTAGGAACAATAACATAGAAAGCTGCCTTATACAGAGTGAGACTTTGAATCCCTTTAGCTCAGTATTGTCCACATAGACTGAGATCCAATGTAGCTCATAAGGCTTTCAGACTGGGGACATTCCCCACCCTACCAGGAGACGCCAGAAACTGGCACCTCCTGCAAGCAAAGCAGTATGGGCAGTGAGTTTCATTTGGTTCTCAAAGCTTCACCTGTTGGCCAATAGTCACTATCTTCAAGGAAATTTGGAGGCAAATGGGAGGGCAGGCCCTATCATTAGGTAAAATGAGGCAGCCTCCTCAGGCTGCAAATGCTGGATGTTGGCTGCAAATAGATTTTTCTTTTCTGGAAGCAAATAGTATGGAAATGAGCACCAAACTGGCACTACATTCTACTGTATTTATTTTATATTTTGTGAAAGCTCAGGTATAATGCAGAGATTAACAGTTAGGAAGACGTCCGGAAAATGGAATAAACTGCCATGCGAATGCAGCCTTAGACAAAAAGCAGAGAAGCACATCTGATTCCTGTGCAACTTGCTTAGCTGTTTGCAATTCCAAAGTTCTTCTTCATTGATCACACACATTTCTATGCACAATTTCCAACTCTGTTGTAGGGAGAATCCCATTTTTAAATTTCTTAAGGCTTTCGCCCACTCTTTTAGGGCAAAACAGGGCAAAAAGGGCTGTTAAAGAAAATGCTCCAACTGCATTTCAGGAGCAGTCAAATGAAGTATAGAAAAGGTTCAACAAAGTGACAGCAGTATGTTCTAGCTGAAAGAAAAGATATTCTTATCTGACAGATAAAATGTTGTATCGCCTGTGCTTCAGTGACAAAAATAGCTTTGTTTCTTTTGACCCTGTCACACTGCTTGACATTCTGGGTCTAAAGGAATAATGTAATCAAAATGAACAAAGTCTTCATTCCTTCTGGTTCCTTTTAAATTGCCAGACTACAAAATGTAATGTTTACAAGACATACATTCCGGACAAAAGAAAAAAAATGCCTCTTTTTGAGGGTTGTGCCTGTCAGACCACAGAGGCACGAACAAAAAAAGACCTCCTCCAACACAAAGACATTTTTCACAGAGTTCTCTGGTCTGAGAGAAAAACCACTCTGGGCTGCCACTTCACTTAATAAAAGACCAGCTCACTCACCTGGGTCTGAGCAGGTCATTGCAACATGTTAATTCTTTTCAGCTTGTGGAGCCAGCCATATCTCTTCTTTTTCTCCTCAATGCAGGCAAACCAATATTTTTTGAAACTGGTGTGGTTTAGAGACTGGAATGTTGCATTTGGCTATAGGAAAGCCAGGTTCAAAGCCCCACTCAGAGCCAATTCACATTTTACCATTTAACCTTCAGGGTTTGTTTTTTGTGTTGTTGTTTTTTTAAGATAGAACCCCAGTTTAAATTGCAATATTCAGTACTGTCAAACATGCACACACCTTGAAGTGCCCTGGGGTTTAATCCATGGCACACACTGAAGCAGTAGCTCAGAAAATCTCTTCCCTCACCTCCATGTTTACCTCAGGGAAACTTGCCTGCTCAAATGCACTTGTGTCATTTCCAGCTGACATGGTTATACGTTTTGTAGAGGAGTAGCTCCGTGTTAGTAATTTGCAGCAAAAGTCACAAAGAATCCCGCGAGACCTTAAAAATGAACAAATTTATTGTTGCACAAGTCTTTCTGAAGTCCATCGGATGAATGAAGCATTATCTTCAGTTGACGTGGTCAGCTGAAATATACATGGGGAAATATGCAAAGTGGGGAAATGCAGGTCTTCACATTCACACCATACATTTTAAACACATGACTTCCTTGAAAGACTCCTGGGGTCTGTATTTAACCCCTTGCAGAGCTACAATTCCCAACAACCTTAACGAACTACAGTTCCAAGCATTCTTTGAGGGAAGCCCTGTTTTTTAAATATGCTTTAAATGTTTGGTGTGCATTTGCCTGGAGTTGAAGGGCAATGAAATGCAAAAAGTACTGTCTGTGATAATTCTATTACAGCTTAAATGTATGCAGAATTAACACAGTTCTCCTTCCCAATAGTGGTATTACAGACTATTACACTTCATGCATCTGATGAGGTGGGCTCTATTTCACATAATAAATTTGTTAGTCTTTAAGGTACCTCAAGACTCTTTGTCTTTTTCAGTGGGGGGGGGTCATTAAACTTTAAGTAACTTTTGAATCCAGGTTTTAAAAGTACAATTTGCATTTGCTGTCAGCTCCGAAGCTCACAGGGTGACCTGGGGCAACAGTCTTTTCCTTACAGTCTAAGCTACTTCACAAGGTTGTTGTCAGACTAACGTAACTAATAAATAAATTTCAAAGGAAAAGGGCCTTCAAGATACCAGAAATGACCATGGGAGCTCATGATGCGAGCTTGAATTCAAAGTAGGTTAAACTGATTTGCCAGTAATCTAGGGTGTCAGTAATTGCATAATATATTGTGAGTAAAAATTCACCCCACGTTAGTGGTTCATAATGCTGGTGCCCTCAGATAACTAAAACGAAATGAGTGAAGACATTGGTCCAAGTTCTGTGGTGGTGATTTCTGTGACATGGACCATTAGCATTCATGCTGGCCTTCTTGAAACAGCAGCCAAGTTGTGCAGGTAGTGAATAACCATCTGTGTCTTACAGTTTCTCTCCCCCACTTTGGAACATAAGTTGCTTCCAATCTATCCTGATTTGTTCACACAAAGATTGCAGGGAGGTTAGATGATATCAGTTGCACTTACTGAGAATTAATTCTCATTTGTTTGTGTGGAGGTAATATTGTTATTCTCTCCCACCCACTCCCCAATAAAAAATTAGTTATCCCACACTTTCCAGTTCATTTTCTGTCCTTATTATTTACTTATTGAATTTATATCCTACCATTTTCTCGGAGGAGCTCAAGTTGGTGTACAAGGTTCTTCCCCTCCTCATTTAATCCTCACGACAATCCTGTGAACCAGGTAAGGCTGAGCTTCATGGCTGAGTGGGGAGAACCCTGGTCTCCCACACTAACCATTACATCACACTAGCTCTCACGAGAAGTCAGTTTTGGGAGGAAGCGCATTTGTTGCCCAAGAGTGCCAAATGAACTTTAATTGCACAACATGAATTTGCTGATAAGGGATCGGATCCCACCAGAAAATAGTGACCTTCTGGAAATGCTTTTAGACTGATTGAAAGATTAGGGTGGTTTCATATCAATCCACCCACCCTTTTCTGCCCTCCCACTGAAAACTAAACAAAAAGAATGCTATACTTCCTAACTGTCAAGGGCAATATAGAAAAAAATTCCTTCCAGTAGCACCTTAGAGACCAACTAAGTTTGTTATTGTTATGAGCTTTTGTGTGCATGCACATACCAATAACAAACTTAGTTGGTCTTTAAGGTGCTACTGGAAGGAATTTTTTTATTTTGTTTCGACTACTGCAGACCAACATGGCTACCTACCTGTGTCAAGTGCTTGTCAGTGCTGTCTTCCCAGGAAATCAGACAGAGGCCATTTGCAGCATGACTCTAACCATGTTTCCTTAAGACAGGCAAGTGGAACTGGTGGCGCTCCATATTTTGTTGGACTATAATTGCTGCCATCCATGATCACTGCTCATACCTTCTGGGGCTGATGGGAGTTAAAGTCCAATAGTATCTGGGGGTGCATAGCAATTCCCAGTCTCTGATTTAGGAACTAACTCCATCCTCAGGTAAGCGAGCATAGGACTGCAGCCTTTGGATGGTTTCCTAGGAAACAACATCAATAAAACCATTCTGATGTGGTACAATTTCGTGGCCATGTTATATATCTTTCCTGTTATATCAGATGTTTTCTAGCATCTCAATGATGGCTTTTAAAAACTAAAGTAATCTTAACTACTTTTAACTAAAGAATGAGGTGTCAGACCACATGCATTCTTAACCATGCAAACTCAGCTTTTTCTCTACCCCATATTACAGGAATTTTCTCTCTCTCCATCCTGTATGTTACCCAAAATCTATAGCTATATCAGCATTTATTTATTTTTAGCTTGTGCAATGTTAAAGTTCCATGGGGCTCTGAATCTTTGTAAAACTACATGTTTTAAAACCATCTTCAGTGCCCCGGCTAGAATCTTATAATTAACTACTTCCCTTAGTTTTGCAGTATTGTACAAAACCCAGCAACAACTGCACCTTTAAAGCACGCAGCCCTTACAAGACCTATCCAAGGTCAACATGAGCCTTACCTAGAATTGCACTCCACAGAGACCTCCCCTATGGATAGTTTTTCTGCACAATAAAAGCAGATGGGGGAGAAAAATGGTAAGAAAAGAGCCTTCAGCTCCTGCAGATCTGTCTGTGTCTCTGCAGTGCGATTTGAGCTGTCGCCTGGTGCTTTGATGTGCATCCCTTTCCTTGAAATTCTAAATTGTCTCCCTTGTCATTATTCCCCCCCCATCTACTTGCGAGATAGCTAACCTCATTGTGACATCATGCACCTGCCAGTCACAGAGAGTTAAAAGCACCCTGAACGCAGCCCCGTCAGGCTCCACTGCAAACTGACGCAAATGAAACACTTCTCGCTCTCCCCGCAGCTGCCACTGACTGCTCTGACTGTAGCCCCTTAATTCCACTGGGGAGAGTGCAGGAGGGGAGGGGTGTGTGACTCAGTCTGCTCCAGTATGGCCTGGTATTTTAGGTAATCAGCCTACTCATTTAAACTGCAGCCAACATGGCATGCAAGAGCACTCGTCTAGGTCAAGGAGAAACTGTTCTCTCTCACGGCTATCGCTGGGCAGACAAATGCTGCGCCACTGAACAGCTTAGCTGACTTTTTCGAAAGCTACAGCTGCGTATGCGCTGCACACTCCCCCACTCTAACACCCCCAAGGATGGTTGTTTGTTCCTTTCAAATATTCCTTATCTTAAATTCTCTTATCCGGCCCGAGATATACGGACAGGTATCTGAAGGAGAGGAGATAAACTGAAAATGTATGTATTACAAGCAAAAATAAAAAAATAAAAATCAGCAGTCAATTGTGCCACCATACCATAGATGCTGTTCATTTGGATGGGGGGGTTTACTTGGGTAGGATGGGGGGAGAAAATGGGCCTTCCTCACTTCTTCACATTTACATGCTCCTGGCCACAAGATGTTTGCTCTTACATGAATGATGTTAATAGCAGAATTGCCTCTTACCTCGAGCTGTGGTTTCTTTGCACATTTTCTATTTGTCCTTCTGCTAATGAAATAGTGAGCACAATGGTACTCATAGCCGGAATTGGGGGTGGCACTGGAATCTTAAGAACTGCCTGGGATTTCTTTTAACATAGCAGTGTTAAAAGGATCTGTCAGTCTTACTCCAAATGGCAAAGGTGAGCGTAGAACAAGAAAATGGAGACAGATGAAACCTAAAACCAGGTAGATAGATAAACTTTATTCACATTAGCCAACGGCCATAGCAACATAAAACAAGCAATCTATACAATTAAAAAGACAACAATGGGTAAAAAGGACAATCAGATGGCCAAGATTATCGTTCAGATAGTGGAGGGAGGGAACGCTAAAAGGGTTCTCAGGAAGCTGCAGTCGTCATTTCAGCAGTCTCCTCAGAGCAGTCTTCACGACTCCTTTCATACTGATGACAGCAACATACAATAGAGCAAGCGCCGCTGCCAACGCGAAGATCAGCAGGTTGTTTTCCAGTGCCAAGCATGAATTAGCCTGTGGTTGGAAATGTAGTTGAGGTTTCAAAAGGTTTAAAGAAAGAAAATAGCTGACTAAGAATCCCCTTTCTTGTCTGCCAGAATGGGACAAGGCAAAGAAAGCAGTGTTTTTAGGCTAGGATGCTAAATTAGTTTTCTTGGGCTTATTTCCCTCTGGTAACTTCCTTCTTCCTTCCCAAAGCGCTTCTTTGGAAAGGAGGTGTGATGGCTCGGACAGGGTCCCAGAGTCCTCCCACCTCCTTCCCAAAGTCTCTAGTTAGTGCTTGCCAAGCTTTGGGAAGGAAACAGGAGGGTTGTGGTACCCTGCCAGAGCCCTCACACCTCCTTCCCAAGGACCGACACCTCGCTTAGCCAGCTTTGGGAAGACAGAGCAGGGTTGGCGGCGGAGTGTCAAACTTAGGCCTCACACAGAGCAACGTATTAGCAAGTTCAATCCATGATGGGAAGCAGAAGGGTGTGCTCCCCCTTGAGCTCCTTGGAGAAAAGGCGGCATATAAACGTATAGTAATAATAATAATAATAATAATAATAATAATAATAATAATGTGTGCCTTCAGTCTCTAGGGGGTCCTCCAATCCCATAAATCTTCTTAAATCATCATACATCATATGCAGTAAAAACCATCTACCATATATAATATTATATACAATAATTATCATTGCATATCCATATATATTATTGTACTTTTGGTTCGTATACAGTGGTAGAGATGGGCAAATTCAGTTTATCTCCATTTCTCACTTTCCTTCTCTTCAGTTCAATCCTCCACATTTGCATTTTCTTTCTTTTTTCTTTTTTTAAAGTCCTTATGAAAATTCACCAGCATTTTAGTTCAATTGTGTCCTAATATACTCATGTCTGATGCCATCTTGCTAATGTACACATCTTTGCAAAGTGATTCACTCTAACTGAATGCATTTTTGCCTGTTTTTCCACTAATATACGCATTTATATGCACACTTTGCTCCGGTAACTACATTTTTGTATGCATTGTTTGGCTGGAGAACTGCACTGCAAAATTCAGAGAAGTGCGCATTTTACACATGGTTGGATTTTGGTTCACACATTTGTTTTTGGACAGTGTAAATTAGGCAAGTTTGCCTTCAAGTGTGAACCGAATAAAATTTCTCTCCTATCCATCTGCAGTGGCTATATGATAATCTTTGTTTCTTTTAAAAAATCTTTCCTGTGGCAAAATACTTCATATTTAATTAAAGTTGTTCTTCTCATAATGTTTCATCTCCAATCAGAATGTATGCAATTTGGTATTGGTGTATAATTAAACTACATGGGGAGGACTCCCCCCCCCCAATGTATTTCACACAAGGGCTTGCAACACTGTGGCTGCCGTTGGGAACACAATTGCCAGAAAGTGCTTTCACTCTACAGAATTGCTCAGTACAGTGGTACCTTGGGTTAAGAACTTAAATTGTTCCGAAGGTCCGTTCTTAACCTGAAACTGTTCTTAACCTGAGGTACCACTTTAGCTAATGGAGCCTGCCACCGCCACCGCACCACCGCCACACGATTTCTGTTCTCATCCTCAGTTAAAGTTCTTAATCCGAGGTACTATTTCTGGGTTAGCAGAGTCTGTAACCTGAAGTGGCTGTAACCCGAGGTACCACTGTATAGCCGGGGGGACGGGGGGGGGGACGGGACAGACCATCATTATTAACAAAACTTGCATTGCACAGTCTGATTCCAGCGGTCACTTCCACTTTGAGATGTTCTATGGAAAATGTCTATTTCTTTGCTCGCTTAAATAGGAAAACTGTGGCCAGCTGTAATTTGAAATGTATCAAGTACTGGCCTGTAAAAAACGAGGGGACATAAGACTGCAATCCTATATAGGCCTGCTCAGGAGTAAATCCCACTTAGTTCAATATCACTAAGTCCGATGTAAGAGTGCATAGGATTGCAGTCTAAAGCACTAGTCTGGAGCTTAAGAATACAGTTCTATTTCCATCTACAGAACTCTTGTGCAGGCTTTCTCCCTCTTTTGCTCACCTTCCCTCTTTGCCAAATCCCTGTAATAGAATGAAGGTGATGTTGCAGCCAGCGCTCAACTATACAAATGGCTTGTAACATCCACAGTCATGTGAATTTTCAGACATTCTGGTAGATGCTATTTATATACGGGAGAGTTTGCTTAGTTCATGCTAGCAAACCCCTTTTATAATTTTGTCAAGGATGAATTGCTGTTTAACTGCTAATTTGAATGGGGAGTGGCAAACACCTCTCGTTCCCTAGACTTGGTCAAAACGGTGTTGGATGCTTTAGCTGAGATTCCTGTATTGCAGGGAGTTAGACTAGATGACCCTTGGGGTCCCTTCCCACTCTACAACTCTATGATTCTAAGAAGGAAAACACTCCTTTTTAAAAAGAGAGAGAAGTGCATTCTGCTTACACAGAGATAATATTGTGGGTGACATTAGGCTAACCACTTTTTCTCAGCTTCTCTCTAATATAGAATGTTAACCTACCTTATGGTCTTCAAATAAAAACATCTTGGAGATCCTGGGCCACAGGGAGGTTAGGCTGGTCTCAACCAGAGCCAGGGCTTTTTTGGCCCCGATCTGGTGGAACGCTCTGTCACAAGAGACTAGGGCCCTGCGGGACTTGACATCTTTCTGCAGGGCCTGCAAGACAGAGCTGTTCCACCAGGCCTTTGGCCAAGGCACAGTCTGACCCCCTCTCTCCTTCTATAATTTTCATAGAACTCAAATCCAATGGTTGCCATTAATTTGATTCTGAACTTATTTTAGAATGTATTTCAATTAATTGATTGTGATTTTATGTAAACTGTGCTATTTTTACTGTTGTTAGCCGCTCTGAGCCCGGCTTTGGCCGGGGAGGACAGGATATAAATTTATTATTATTATTATTATTATTATTATTATTATTATTATTATGGCTGCTGAGGCAATGGAATCAAAGGCACCTTGAGCTGATTTGGCAGGGTGTTTGTGTGTGCCATATACGTACTAACTAAGGAACCAACCAACAACCAAACAGGACTGAGTAAGGTTGGTTGTCAGAGCTGCTTAGACTTACTCCAAATGTATCTATTCAGTTGCTGTAGTGCATCAGTGCTTTAAATAGCCAGGGAAGCTTCCAGCAAATGCATGGGGGGGGGGGGAGGAATAAAAGAGAAGAGACATGACAAAGGGAGCAAATGGTTGATCAGCTAGCATGCCTCTGAATTACATTGTTACCCTAGATTGGTGCTGATTTGAGGTGTTGGTGGTTACCCTCATGTGGAAAGAATGCAGAATTTGGTTCTTCGAACATGCTTTCTTTTGAAGTGGGGTGAAGAAGAAAAAGCCTTTTCTATTTAAACAAAGGGAGGTCAGTTGAAGTTCATCCGATTCTCATGCGCACAGCACAGTGGAAACCCCACATGCTTGGTCCTTCATGACTGTTGCTGGCTCAGCCTCCTTGTCTTTGGCTCTTCCCCTTTTTAAGCATCTTTTTTCTCTTGACTTCTTTTTTCTATGTTTCTGCCTTGCTGCTCTTGAAATAACCCAGTTATGGAGTCCTCTCATATTATCTACTTGTCCTGCAATTATTGCCAGCCAGCATAATGGTCCACTTATTTAAAAAGCCCCAATCATGCGGAGAGTCATCTATGTGCATACAGTTGTATGCACAGAAACTCTCTTCAGACCTTCAAATGAAGACACTTCAGCCTTTAACAACCATACAAAATATCAGCCTGGGTGATTGTTGGGCATGGCAACCTATATGAACCTAATGTCACTCTATGAACCTATTGTTGTAGGCAAAGAAGCAGTGGCAGTTGGCACCCCATTAATGACACAGGAGCCTAATATGGAATTGTAGCTCAGTTGAATACACTCCAAGTATCTTG